AGTAGGCTTTGTGCAACCTGGTCTAGTGGAGGGTGTCCCTGCCCATGGCAGGGGGGTTGGAACTAGATGATCTTTGAGGTCCCTTCCAACCCAGACCATTCTATGATTCTATGATTCTATGACATCCCACTGGCAGAGCTCCGCAGCTGAGGATTAGGGAGAGGTAATGGTGGCTCCTTCCAGTGAGAGTGCAGAGGAGATGGGTAGAAGCAGCCTGGGGGTATGAGAAGTGTTTTCTCTGCATGGTGTACAGAAAGCCGGCGCATGGTAATGCACAGCAGTTGTAAAGGGCAAACCAGTGCTGCCAGCTTCACCAAGGACTTTCTGTGGCTCTAAGCTGCCCGTGTGCTCTGCTCCTCACTCCTTCGTGTGAGATCTCAGAGGCAGGCAGGCACATTGGTACCCCATGTGTCAGCGTGCTCGCTGGGAAACCACATGGAGAGGAGTATAAAGGAGTACGTTTTGAAATCTGTCTCGATTTGAGCCCTTTTGGAGGGGCATGCTGATAAAATACAACTATACATTGCAGTAATGGAGTAGTACTGTTGCCAGAGATGATGTAAAATTAATAACAAAAGATAATTAAATGTGGAACACTTGGTGATGTCATCTGCCCTAATCCATTTTACATCAAAATCTCACTGCATTTCACAGCCAGTAATGCAGTGTAGTTTTAATAAAACTTTGATGGGGTGGTTGTTGCATAATGGCAAACAAATGGTTTTATTCTCTGGATTTTATAGCTATGGTAGTCTTAATACCTAACTATCATCAATAGTCCCTTCTTGGTAAGAAATTACAGAAGATGCTCTCTGTCTAGCGTTGGAAAAAGCAAGGATTGTTTTTTAGAGTATATATATATTTAGAGGGGTTTTTAATGTTTTTCAAAATACTCCCAAGGGCAGTAGAGGCAAAGCCATCTCTCGAGCCTGAACAAAATTGGGCAGAATTTCTTATGTTCTGTCATTTTGCCTTCTTACTCAAACTACCTTATAAGCAGAGTTATGTTTGTGCAAGTCTTCAGTAAACCATGCAGCCACATTTGTGGTACCAGGAGATGTACATCTACAAGTCAGTACTAACATGTGTGTGTCTATATATATATTTGTATATGTGTGTACACTCTTCAAGATTTTTATTGTTAGTAGCAGCCTGAAAAGCTTACAGCCGGTAGGAACTAGTTCCAAAATTAGATACTTCATCTCAGAGAGATGTCAGGAGACATACCCATAATGCAGAACCCCTTTTATTCCTGTAATTGACTGGGAGCAGCCTTGCAAAAGGTTCTGTGTGATAAATTAACTGATAGATTATGATATTTTATTTAAAAAGCTAAAATAAAAATGCTGGATGATAATTTATAAAAGGCTTATTATTTCATTTAATTTAGTCAGGCACAGTATTTTATATAAAACTAGTGAGTGTTTTGGAATATATTCCGTCACCTGTAGCCTTCACTCTTTCACTTGGCTGTCAACGCTTGACTGAAATGTGGAGAGGGAATTTTCAAGGTCGCAGATTAGTGAAGTGAGAATTAACAAGGCTCTGTTAGAAAGTCATAATGAGATGAAACCTTTATGCTACCAGAGATTATTAGAGTTAGGATTTATGAAGCATTTTCCATACTGATCATGCTACTTAGGCTCTATCTCCGGAGACTTTTATTGCAGTGAATGTTTTATATTTACATTTCCATTAAGTTTAAGAGGATGCTCTCTGAGAGAAGTAGGGACTTAGATACAAAGGTTGTCACCATTTCTGGCATTGCCTCTGTACTCTGTGATATACTGATGAGAAAAATTAGCATTCAGTAAATCTTATTTTATCTACACAACATAATGTAAGTTAGTATGCATTTTCCTTGAGGTTGGATACTTGTGGGTAACTTATTTGTCACTTGTCTAGATTCTTTATTTCCTTTGTGTTTGTTTCTGCATTGCTTTTCAAGGTTGGGGCATCTGTCTCATTGACAAGCCATGGCATGGTTGACAGTCCGAGATTTTAGAGAAAGACCTGAGGCCTTGAAAACGCTCACCCACAGAGCCTTTTTCCTATGGCCTGAATATATTCTATACTTCTACCTGTCACAGCCAGGTTCCAAGTTAGAAAAAAAAACACCAAAAAACCAAGCAATAAACTTTCGGTACCTAAGGGCTCCCAGTGTCACAAATCAAAGTATTATTCTTTATCCTAAGGGAAAAATCCTATAAGTGAAACAGATATCAGCACAAGATTTAAAAGAACTTCCCAGAAACTGGAAAAAAAACCAAAGTAATAACTTTAATGAACAAAACCCCAGGCAGGAGAGAAAGGCAGTCAGAGAGGTAAACATGCATAAACAAACACAAATAAAGAGCAGGGGTGAAATCCTGGCAGGTGGATGTTCCTGACTTCAGCAGGGCCACGGTTTCACCCAGCATGGATAGGATTTAAATGGTAGTTTTTAAGAACCCCTCTATGCATTCTGTGTGTGGTTTTCAATGTTTTATTTAAACGAGAAGTGAATGGCAGGTATTAACTAAGCGCAGGGAGGGATTTTCCCCTGGCACCTGGTTGATTACGGCTGGCAGGAGCTGTGCTGCTCCACGCAGCTGCCCTGAGCTGCTGCCATAGCCCACTGATTGGTGGGTCGTGCTTTGGGTCCTGGGCGTCAAGAGGATTTCAAACACGAGGTTGTGTCATGATTACTGCATGCCCTCAGCCTGGAAAAGGAACAAAGTAAGTATTTCAGGCTGTTCCCAAAAGAACTCCCTCCCACTGTTCATTTGTTGCTATTTAACCTATATCTTTGCATCTAAAGAGGGTATGAGTTGCCAGGACAGGCTCTGACAGATTGGGCATTAAGACTGCCTGTACAGTTTTGAGCTGGGGCATTGTAATACAGCCTGACGAGACCCTTCATTAAATTTTCTACAGGCCCTCTGCTGCATTCAGCGAGTGAGTGATTATTATTTCTTTTTGTTATCCCCATTTGATGTGGCCCTATGCCATATTTGGGGTGTGTTGTTCCGAGCATCCAATGAACAAAGAACTGTTCATTTCCAAATGGGCGTTTTTAAGACATATTCTCCTTAGCATCGACATACAAAGAGTAAAGCCAAAATGGTCAACGGTAGCTAGCCATTTTGAGTGTCTGTCTTGAGACATCTAGGGACTTGTTTTTCAGAGCACTGTTTATAGCCTCCTCTGTGTGGAAAGCCCAACCAGGAGGCACTTGTTAGAATTCAGTACTGCTGAAGATCTGGCTTCAATTCTCACATTAGATACTCAGAAAATGTATCATGTAAAAATAGTGATCACTTGTGAAAAGCTTTCTCCAAGTGGTAAGACCAGGGCTGTGTAAATTGTTTGCAGCAGAAATAGGAAAATAATCCTGTTTTACGAAGGAGCTTTGACATCTGTCCCTCTCCTGCTTGTAACCCACTCCTCCCGCCACCAGGTACACCTCTTTCCCAGTCCGCATCACCAACTCTGTGCACGGTCTATGTCCCTCATCTCTAGGATATGGTAAATCTCAAAAAGGTATGAGGAAGAGCAACAAAGATGATGAGTGGTGCAGAATGTCTTCTCTATGAAAAGAGACTAAATCAAGTGGGACAATTCAGTCACCTCAGATTAACTGTTTATTCCAATTTAATTTAAAATTAAACATGCTCAAGGATGATGGGGAATGGAGCTTTTAAAAAAAAAGTTCTTTTTTTCTAATGATGACCAGCCAACGTTTTTCTGGTTTCCTTTCTCAAAAATAGCTGGAACAGGTTGAGCAGATTGGGTTGCATTACTTCCTGAAGTAATGTTGCTTTTTCTTGGTATCTGCTACATCACAAGTGAAATCCTATGGCCTTTATTTAG